TGTGTGTGTGTGTGTGTGTGTGTGTGTGTGTGTGTCTGTGTGTTGCAGTACGTGCCAGAACAATAGACCAGCGGGACTGCAGCTTGTGAACGGTACCCTTCTCATTGGGGGGAGTTGCGCTCCTTGTTGGTGGCAGAGTGGGCGGTTTATACAAGTTCTCTCCCCCCCCCCACCCCACCACTCGCCCACATCCCACCTAGCTTTGGGGCGCAGCGTTTCTGAAATCGACATTAACCCTATCCGTACGTCGTGTTTTACTATCGTATCCATACGACGTGGGGAACTCTGTGACACCATTTTCCAAAGAGGAAATTTGCTTGTAAATCCGATCCCTACGCTTTGCCTAGCAGTCTGTCAAAATGATTTTTTGAGAAATACTGAAAGTTTAAAAGAGAACTTCGCAATAGAAGTATTCTAGAAGGAGAAGAATACAACCCCGAGGTACAAAATGACCCCAGGGCGTACGGATAGGGTTTAATAAGACAGTGCTTGACTTACTGGATGATATCTTCCTCTTGTGGGCGATTTGGTAATATTGGTGGGCAGTGGGGATCACTTGGGCAGTGAGAGGTGATATACATGTGTGTGGGGGGAGCGAAAATATTAACCGTATCCGTACGCCCTGGGGTCATTTTGTACCCCCGGGGTTGTATTCTTCACATTTTAGAATACTTCTAGTACGAAGATCTCTTTGAAACTTTCAGTATTTCTCAAAAATTCATTTTGACAGAACTGCTGTGCAAAGCGTACGGATCAGATTAACGAGTAAATCTCCTCTTTGGAAAGTGGTGGCACAGAGTTCCCCACGTCGTAGGATACGATAGTAAAACACAACATGCGGACAGGGTTAAACGATAATAATGTAGCCTCTTAAAGGTGGTAAAGGGGGATTAATTTGGTTCATGTTTTTAGTTTTAGTAAGAGTTTCATGGCAAGTGCAAAACAAATTGGCCACACAGATGCCGAAGATTAGATGTGTTACCAGAGAGTAACATACAAAGAAAAGATGGGGGAGAGATAAGGACGATAAATTTTAATGTTTGATAGGAGAGAAGAAGAAGCAAAGCACACCAGAGCCCCCCCCCCCCTTCCCGGCAACCACCCACCACCTAGACTGGAACCCCCTCAAGTGTCTAGATTTGGGGCAAAGCATGCCAAGTGTGACCGACTCAAAGCGTACCGCTGCTACATTAGGCCAAAGAAAGAAAGAAAGAAAAAAAAATATGTGGGTGTGCGCATGTGTGTGTGCGCGTGTGTGTATGTGTGTATGTATGTGTGTGTGTGTGTGTGTGTGTGTGTGTGTGTGTGTGTGTGTGTGTGTGTGTGTGTGTGTGTGTGTGTGTGTGTTAGTTGTTTCTGTTATTTATTTCTTAACATCTTCCCGACTTGAGCGAATTTGTTCTTTTTAAAATTTATTTTGAAGTCACCAATCTTAGTAGCGTCATTTAATAGCATATTTGAGACAAAGAAGTGTTTTTGTCGAATACACGGCTAGCGTCGGACACCGACGATGGTAGCTTAGTGATAGCGGCAACAGACAAATACTGGCGGGTTCCTCCTTTTGGCAAATCGTCAACCCCCCCCCCCCCAAAAAAAAAAAAAAAACTCAAAAAAACTCAAAACTCCCGAACAAACCAACAACATCAACACCCCCCCCCCCCGCAACAGCAACCCAACTATTTAAATACGCCAAAAAACAAAAAAACAAAATCAAACGACGAAAGATCTTGTTAGTTTGTGGGTGTTCGAACGCTTAATCGACTGCTGGCACGGTATGCTTCGTGGTGGTAAGCCGAGAATGCTTCTGGGTGTTCTGGCGTCTGCTTGGGTAATGATACAGATTGTGGAGCGCGCACTGCATGCATGCTGTAGAGCAGTACTTGACAACTTAGGAGACAGCACCCGCACAGTTGGAGGTTTGGTAAGTTTGGTGGGCGGTTTGGTAAGTTTGGTGGGCGGTTTGGTAAGTTTGGTGGGACGTTTGGTAAGTTTGGTGGGCGGTTTGGTAAGTTGTTTTTTTAAAGTTAGAGATTTACAGCACTTGCAACGCAATAAGGTCATATAAGTGCCGAAGATTAGAAGTGTTACAAGAGAGTAACAAACACAAAACAGAAGGAGGGGAGATAAAGACGACAGATGTTTGATAGGAAAGAAGAAACAAACCACACCAGAGCACCCACCAACCACCCACTTCGTAAGTTTGGTGGGAGGTTTAGTAAGTTTGGTGGTGGGATGTTTGGTAAGTTTGGTGGGGGGAGGTTTGGTAAGTTTGGTGGTGGGAGGTTTGGTAAGTTTGGTGGTGGGAGGTTTGGTAAGTTTGGTGGTGGGAGGTTTGGTAAGTTTGATGGGAGGTTTGGTAAGCTTGGTAAATTTGGTGGGAGGTTTGGTAAGTTTGATGGGAGGTTTGGTCAGTTTGGTAAGTTTGATGGGAGGTTTGGTAAGTTTGGTGGGAGGTTTGGTAAGTTTGGTGGTGGGAGGTTTGGTAAGTTTGGTGGTGGGAGGTTTGGTAAGTTTGGTGGTGGGAGGTTTGGTAAGTTTGATGGTGGGAGGTTTGGTAAGTTTGATGGTGGGAGGTTTGGCAAGTTTGGTAAGTTTGATGGGAGGTTTGGTAAGTTTGGTGGTGGGAGGTTTGGTAAGTTTGGTGGTGGGAGGTTTGGTAAGTTTGGTGGTGGGAGGTTTGGTAAGTTTGGTGGTGGGAGGTTTGGTAAGTTTGATGGGAGGTTTGGTAAGTTTGGTAAGTTTGATGGGAGGTTTGGTCAGTTTGGTAAGTTTGATGGGAGGTTTGGTAAGTTTGGTGGTGGGAGGTTTGGTAAGTTTGGTGGTGGGAGGTTTGCCCCCGCCACGGTGGTGGGAGGTTTGGTAAGTT